CGGGGGGGTATGCAGTTCGGCGTGCCTGCCAACGGGCAGCAGTTCAACCCGGCGGGAGGGCAGTTCCGGCCCCCCCAGGCCGGACAGGTTCAGTTTCAGGTGCAGCCGGGGCAGCCTCAGCAGGGATCCCCCGGAATGAATGCGCAGTTCCAGGGGGGGCCTAGTGGGCAGTTCCAAGGGGGGGGTAACGGGCAGGGATTTGCGCCCAACGGTGTTCCGATGTTTGCGTCGCAGCCCATGGGGGGCTATGCGATGCCCGGCGGCATGATGTATGTCACACCCGACCAGTTCCAAGCACAGGTGGGCATCTTGGTTATGACTCCCTGGTGCCGTTTCGTGGTTCTGTGAAAGATCCGACTTGGTTCCACGCACTTTTGAGAACAATTTGCCAGGCTGGTGCGAGGCTCCATTGGGGTTCCAGTTTTGATGTGGTTGAAAGCATGGCTGACATGAGCGCTTCCTTAACTTTTCTGGCCTGAAATCTCGAACAATGTGTTGTCTAGGGTTAGTCACCTGTGTTGTCAGCTTACTGCGGGGGAAGAGCCTTGTTGCAAACTTTGCTCGATTGTATCTTCAAAAGCATTCCGGACTCTGCTGTGCCATGTATCTCTGTCTTGTCAGGTCGCTCTTTCCGACTTCGACCGTCTCATTGTCGCGTGAGCTATTGTCCACATTCGTGCAACAGCGTAAAGACCCCAAGCGCAATGAGCGGCGCAGCTCGGGGGGCTTGCCATGTCTTCCCATTCTGAGTTTCAACCAATGGGCGTTGACTTGCACCAAGCAGAAAGTTGAAACCGTATTGCCTTTCTTCTTGCAGCCTATGGATCAGTACCGGCCCCAGCACCCTCCCCCGCAGCAGCTCTCCCCCCCGCCGCAACAGTCACAGCCTCCGCCACGCAGGCGCTGACTGGGCCCCGAAACCCAAAACCCCTCCAGCCCCTTCTTGGGGCGCGTAGCTTTTAGGGTTAGGGATAGGCTTAGCAAATGTTCTGATCAGACCCGGGAGCCTTAGCACGCACGTGAGACGCAGAAAAGCTGGGCGGAACACAGAGGTGATAGAACACGGTAGATATCGTAGGTGGCGGAAAAGGGAGAGGAAAGCGAGTCGAGGTTTCGGAACTCCTTGCGAGAGATTTGTGAAGTAGATTGAGGATGTGCTCGGCGGCTCATTGCCGCGGCAGGCCGGTCGCTGCGAGCGGGGTCGCGCTGGTTTCTGTGAAACGAAGAGTTACGGTCAGCGAAAGTGTGCTGTGGCTGTGCCATGCAGCGGGGTGACATCAGCAGTCGATTATGACGTTAGCTGAGTTGGAGGCGAAATATCCGAGGACGGAAAGTTACTAGCAACTGGACAAGCGTGCTCGGGAGCCGCTTGTTGGCGTGCGGAGACGGGAGTGACGTCAGATGTGAGTTGGGTTTGGAAACATGGCGACCGGGAACCTAATTTCGGAGAACCGGACCTGGGGAGTGCGGCTGGCTGTGCTGTGCGCCGGGGTGACGTCAGCACAGTGCTGCTGCGCCGCCGGCAAAAGTTGGGAGGTTGCGCTTGAAAGAAAAACCGGGGGAAGCGGCGAGGTGACGTGGGAGACGTTGCGGCCCACTCTTCTGGTGAGGGGGAGATGCACGGCGGTGGCTTGGAATGGCAATTGAGTGGGCGGGCTGTCAGCTGTGGGGTCGATCGGGTAATGCGAGGAGCGGCACAATGGAAAGGTCGTAACTTGACGCGTCTAGTGGGCGATTTGGCGCATGGGTCTCAGGTGCAACCGGGGGCGGCAGGCAACTGACGGCGTTCAACTGGGCTTCGTGCGCAAGGCTTCGGAGAAAGTGCGTCTGTCCTCGCCGGAGGGGGGGCTCTCCGGCTGTGCCCCCTGCGGAGGGTAATCACAGGCTGCGCCTTGATGTGTGCCGGGGGGGGGTGGTTGTGGCCATGGCTCGCGGCAGCAAAAAGGGGCTGGCAAAAGGGGGTCCCGTGTTCTGCATTTTGAACGCTCTTGCAACGGCGCCGTGCCTGATCAAATGTGTCGGAGGGGGAAAGCTGGCTGCCGGGGGACCACTGTCGGGGTGGAGGGGGAAGCGAGTATCTCTCCAGGGGGGCTGCCCACCAGGCTCAGTTGACTGGACACATGCCCCTCCGGCTGGAAGCCGGCGTCAATGGTCTCTGACCATTAGCAAAGTGGAGGGGTCGGTCACAGCGCGGGTGGCTATGCACTTGCAAGGAGTGCACGGCTCTGCGCTGCTGAGAGAGGCTCGGCTTCCCCGTCCAGCAGGGCGGTGGGCAGTGTACGACATTTGCGGGGTTGTACGAGCCTTAATGGATGACGTAATGGCACGGTGCCTTACTTCCGCTGTGTGTGAGGAACCTGTTTCCGCCGTCGGAATGTGGCGGGGCGAATCGAGAAGGCGAGGGGGCCGTGGGCAGTAAATTCAGAAGCCGTTATGTCCGGTGGGGCCAGAAGGGGCGGAAGCGGACGGTCCAAAACGGAACCGAACAGTATCGGACTAAATGGGCTGCTGCCGGAGATCGGACGGGCTAGCCTGGAAGGACGTTGCTGTAAGGAGCGCAAGGGGGGTGGCCGGGATGGCCAAAGCTCCGACAGGGTCTCGTTTCAGACGGACGGTCCAAAACGTCGGACAGTGTCGGACTGAGTGGGCCGCTGCCAGAGATCGGACGGGCTAGGCGGGAAATGTTGGTGCTGTGTAAAGCGCAAGGGGGTCGGCCGGGGATGCCGGAGCCGGCTAGAGCTCCGACGGTTTCGTTTCGGACGGTCTCAAGCGAACTGTCTCTGGTAGCACCTTCCTTAAACTTCGGAGGCAGGCGCTTGGGGGACGCTATGCAGTGGGCTGAATGTTGGAAAGAGTGGGTGACGGGCGGAAAGACTGCCCGGGTTGGAATCCCGTGCAAGCGGCGGGCTGGAAAAGTGCCCGGGTTGGGCTCCCGGGGTCCGTACCAGGGAGGGGGGGCCTCGGCACGGGGACTGCTCTTTTGGAGGCAGCGGCGATTTTTGGCGGTGGGGCCGTCTCAGCAGAGCGAGGGCCGAGCGCGGTGCGTCCAGGGCTCGCTGCAAATCGGAGGGATCCCTCTGTTCCCGACCTCTGGTCTTGGAAGCGGGGCCGCTGTTGAGGGCCACTTTGCTTGAAGATGATGATTTCAGCCATTGAGCAGCCCACCAAGTCGGGGCCGGGGCGTTGCAGCGAATCCGACTGAGAGAGTGGGCGGAATTCAGCGCGGACTGGGCGGAATACGGCGCGGATCGGGTGGATCCGGAGTCTGACTGGGCGGAGTCTGCGCAAGTCCTTCGGAGCCGCCAAAGGACGACGATCGAGTGCACGTTGGACTCTTCGAAAGCAAGTAAGTTGTGCAACCGGATCCTCTGAGCGATTTACCATGCAAGTTTCGTCCAACTTTCAGCGCAGCTTGTCGGTCAAATAACCAACAAGGTTTTGATGAAAGTAGTCAGGCTTCTTCCGCAGATTACGGATTCTAGGGTCTGCATAGTCAAACTCCGCCAAACCCGGCTGCTTGATCCTGCCACGATGCTCAATATCATGGTGTCCAAACGGTCGGAATTGCTTCTGCAGTTTTCGGGGGTACGCAGACATGCCGAGGTAATGCGAGCGCGTTCAAGGACGACAGCTGGCGGGCGGGCAGGCAGTCTGCCGGATCAGCCTCGGGCTCTAGCATGTGTTGCTGTGGGCCTTTGGCTTACGGATAGTCTCGCAAGCTGAGCGCGATGCGTAGAGGAATCTAGAGAGCAGAAAGGATCATGTTGTTGCAAAGTTCCGTCATACGCTTGTCTTTGACACTCTCTTTACATTGTCAACATAGCAAAGTATTCTAAAAGTGAGAAGTGTTACTCTTTTCTTCATACGATGACATCTTACTGCTGCCAGGCGTCAAGCTGACGTGTTGTCGCTCATGAGGATTCCTTGTTGGACCACGGAATGCATTATCGCGGCCTTACTAATATCCAAGGAAGTTCATTTTCTTGCTTCGGCGCATAAGGCTGACCACTTTGCGGGTGTACATGTATGATCGTGCTCTGCATTTGATTCATGCATGCGGTGGCCGCCAGCATGGACATTGCATGACGACAAGTCAGTCAAATACTGGATTGAAAAGTTGCGCATGGAATGACAGTGCTGTGCACGAAACGTTGAAGCCGGCATATAACTACAGCCAGCAGTATCGTTCAATCGTTGGCAGCCGCGCAGAGTGAGGCGGCCGGCCCCCGGACCGGCGGGAGCCGGGCAAGAGGTGCCCATGCTAGCGGAAAACCCGGGCGCTTCGCTGAATTTCAGATTCCAAAATGGCCTGTACGTGGTGACACTTGGCCAGATTGCTGACTTGTCCTCCGGCCAAAACAACGGGGCAACTTCACGGGTATCAACAACGAAGTACATGGGCGGCCCACATTACAGAACTGTCAGAAGGCTCTTTCACTCAATGGAATCGCCGTCAGGCAATCTAGACGCTTACTTGTAATCCACTCTGTAGACGCCCCGCGCTGCTGCTTGTGCTTCTGCTAGCTGCTCTGTATTTGGCTCTTGTAATATAGAGCCTGATCTACGAAGCTCAACAAATTACAGCATTGCGCTGTTTTTTGTGATCAAAAGACTCAGGCGACTCGCGGCATTGCCCTCTAGAAGAACGTCGTAAGAGCAAGGATTGAAGTAGGAAGGACTGCAATGGCGCCAAAGGCTAAGAAGGAGGAAACGAATCACTCTGATGCAGTCAAAGTTCTTGAGGAGGGGCACCTGTTCTTCTTCTACCGGCCGAAAGTGGAGCAGGAGTCCCCAGAGAGCATCGACGATCTCCAGAGGTTGTATCTTGTGATGCGTCCGGTTGGGGGCTCAGATGTCGGGCCACAAGGGGAGGAAGCTGTGCAGGATGAGGGGGATGAGAAGCAGCTGAAGCAGAGCAAGGTGAAAGGATTGGTTGGTTTCGTTGTGGAGTGGACTAGTGCTTTTGCGTGAAACAGTGTACGTGTAAGATCACAAGCTTAGCTTCATCACTCAGCCACTAACACCAGCTCGGAGAGACTGTTCAAGCACTTGGCATTGCAATTGAGCAATAACAGGCAAAGGGTATAGTGCATCTGACAGTTCCCAATATCACAATCAATGTTCTGCGGGTGTTTGGGTATGTGGGGTACAACCTGAGAGTAGCTGCTTCAACTGAGGAGTCTCAAAGATAATGACGCTGATAGTGATGATAGTCTTCCCTCTTGTGAGTCTCGTAATGTAACTGCATGCATGGTGTCTGAAACTTTCAGCAGGCAGACCAGCCACAGACTCCTCTTAAACTTCAGCTTGTCAGAGACTTTTTACTCAAAAATCTGAGTTTAAGTTTTCAAAGTTTTGGCTCTGCCTACTGAAGCGGTCGTTGCGCTGCTCAATCATCTAATGTATGGATTGTCGAGTTTGTATTCAAGAGTGTTGGGTTTGAGGGGTATATCACAGAGTAGGCCTGAAGTTGGAGGACAAAGTTTCAAACGCGTCAGTTGTTCGACCTTTTCTTGCAAATGACAAGATTGGCTTCCTTCTTGGGCAACAGAACGACCTGACGACACCAGACAATCATAGCAAAATTGAGAGCCCCAAGATATCTGGACAAATTATAAGAAAAGTGTCATTCCTGCTATTTACGTCAGCCCATGCTGTCGCCACTTGACAAAGGTGTGCCTTCACAATGCAGGAGGAACATCTGAAAAAGGTTGAGGACGTAGCACAGCAGACAGGTTCACGGGGCGGAGCCAAGCAAGAAAAGGGCGCCACTGCAAAGAAAGACGGCCCTAAGGGTCACACCAACGAAGAGCAAGCCAAAGGGGGGGACGAAAAATCTGCCAAAAAGCCAAAGACCGAGGAACAAGGCGAGGGGGATGAAGCGGAAGGTGGGAAAGTGGGGGGAAAGCCACTCCACAAGAAGGATCTGAAGCTGAGGCTGCGGTATGTGGTGGTTGCAAAGAAGGCGCTGCCGAAAGTGACGGGGAAGAAGAGCCGACCATTCTGGGCGTTTGTGGAGACCGTAACGGACGATCCTGAGGTATGGTTTTGGGTTTTGGGTTTTGGGTTTTGGGGTTCTGGTTTTCGGTTTTGGCGATTTGGGGTTTAGGAAAAAGTAGGACTCTGTGGTTTGAGGCCGTTTTGGGCGTCCATGGAGATTGCCACGGACGATTCCGGGGTGAGAAGTTGGTGTTTATAACGTGAACCTCGTAGGAAGAACTGGCCAGGACTATGTTGAAACATTGTCCGTTTGGTTCCAAAAGCGGATGAGAGTTGGGGCATGGATCTTCAAAACCTCTTGTCGTTTGTACTCGCCTCTCTAAAATCTCCCTTTACCAAGACATCAACCGAGTGTCAAGCTATTGCATCTGACTTTTCCTGGCTTGCTGCTGAGACATCTCGCAATTTGGTTCGTTTGGAGATGGACACTGAAAGAATATCTTCCCCTTGAAAGCTGCAGTCTGCATCATCGGACAGATTTGAAAACATGCGGAAGGTACCTTTGACTGTATATTGCTGGTAGCATCACCGTTGTATCACGTGTTGGCAATTCAGAAACTTGGATCCTTGGAGAATCACTGAATTGCTTTGCCAACTTCAAGAATCGCTCTCGCAGGTGATTCGACAGAAGCTCAAAGGAAGTACGTACGAAACAAAGACCCGAGGGACGCGGCACCAGCCCGCGGCGCGGCCTTGCGGAGTAAGTCGCCGATTATCCGTTTCCAGATTGTCTTGCTTTGGTAATCTCAGGAGGCTGCATCGGTTGACCCGATAAGGCTTGATCGGTCTTGGAAATGGATGATGCCTTCGATTCGTTTCGGCGCAGACTATGATATTTGCTTGACTCCGCAGACGATCTTCGTGGTCGAATAGCAAAGAGTTCGAAGTCCGTCACGCGATGGGAACCATTTCCTGTGGGAAGCTTTCTCGACGTCCCGAGCCGCTTTATTGGCTTATTTGAACGCCTCTGTAACGAATTGTGCGATCGTTTTCAGTCCGTACAACCAAAGGTTCGAGCCTCGTTTACCAACCTCAAGTCCTTCGAATAATGAGGATGGTGCAATTACGCTTTCACAGTCTGCCTTTCAACGTTACCTTTTGTCTCTTTTACTTTGATTTGCGGGTCCTGCCCCTGTACTCGAGTCACCTTGCTAGTAGTTGTTGTTTCTCTTCTGGCTCTTATTCTTGTGACGATGTACAGAGCACTACGCACCGTCAGCGAACCCCTACCACTGTAGTATATTTGCCTTTTTAGCTGTTTCTTCTTCTCTGACTCTTAATCTCAAGACATTTTTCAGCGGGGCGTATACAAGAACACGACACAACGTAAGCGGATTCGTACCAATGTCGCAATTTGAAAGTCGTTTTCGAGCTTCGCTGATTCTTATTTGTGTGACGGTTTACAGGAGGGCGTGGACAGATCATCACGCTTCTGAACGAACTCCTACCACTGTAAAGAGGATGAAGTTTGCAATCGTAGTGTCTTCTTCTCTAACCTTTATCCTTATGACGATGTATAGGAGGGTGTGTACAAGATCACGACGCACCATGAGCGCGAGCACACGCACCTGGCGTACAAGCTGGAGCTGCCAAGCACGCCGGGCGAAGTGCAGGTAAATCTGACGGCTCGAAGTGACCCTAAGTGAGACTTACCGGAGGCAGTTTAAAAGCGTACAACAAGTGTCCGAAAAAGCATTCCCATCTCGTTCTTCGCAGCCCATCGGCTTCTGAAGGTTGTGCTGCAAAGCAACATCCATAGCGTCCAAAAGTTCCTAGGTTGCTTGCTGTATCTAGCCTCCTTAAGCATCTCAAGCCCTGCCCGAGGCAAGCCTCGCAGTAACCCTTACAAGACTGCAAAGAAACCGTTGCGGCAGATGCGAAGGCTACGATCACGGTTATGCAGATTAGATACAACTTCGAGGCATTCAATCTCATGACATTCCAACGCCCGCAGGAGATCACAACATTCTGTTTGAGGCGAGCTTCGCAGTACTCCTGCGAAGGATCCATTGCGCCCGAAAAGCTGACAGAGTCGCAAGAAAAGCAACAGAACCCTCTTCTCACCCCGTTCCTCGCCCGCAGGAAGAGCTCAACATTCTGCCGGAGGCGAGCTTCATCGTCCAGGTGAAGAACCCCGACACCCCCTCCCCGCCGAACGTCGGCCTGGGCAACCGCCTGCACCCGGACTTCCCCGATAACCTCAAGCGGGTCTTCCACGGCCGGCGATTCGTCCCGGGTACGTTTTTAATTGCTTTTTTTCGGATATTGAATCTAAACAGTCTACATTTAGGTCAGATTTCTGTCTGCGTCCCCACAAATGTTGCGGAAACTTGAACATTGAAACCGGACTTCCCCGACAACCTCAAGCGGGTTTTCCACGGCCGGCGCTTCGTCCCGAATCGTGTTTCCCGCCCCCATACATTTACTGAAGTCTTGCCATAATTCAATTGAGATGTAATAGCTGTAGGCAGACTTTCCGAATCTCCCCATGAATGTTGCAGAGTATTCGAGAGGGGTTTTAAACAACCCTTTTGCCGTCGAGGTGAATAGACGGCCGCTCGCGCAGGCTCCGGGCCCCTAAAAGCTCTGTACCTTCTGGAGTCGTTTCGTCCTGGAGTTTTCCTGGAGCAATTGTTTACGTCGATGTTGGAAAGAGAATACAATGACTTTGATGTAACGAGTATTCCGGAGCAAAATAGCGGTGATTGCGGACAAAAGTCTGACGTCTATTTTCTTGCCCACACTCGCATTCCTTGAGTTCTCGTTGCTTCGGGACCGTCGAAGGTCGTCGATCTTCGCGCCAGTTCATCGTGTTTCGTGATCTCAAAGCCGCGCCTGTCAATTAGGGTGCGTTTGCTTGTCTTATTTTTGAGCCTCGGAGTTGCATCTCGACAAATTGGTTTTCTTGCAAGGTTCCGGTTCTGCGTATCCAATCTAGGGAACGAATGTATTTAGCTTGTCTTGTCAAAGAACCCTGCACCATTCCAGGTATTATCCAGTGCAAAGTGCAATACTTTCCAAACCTAGCCGCTTGACGCAAAAGGATGATCGGCTTCAGCCAATTCGGTCACAGGCGGCTTGAAGGCAGTTCAAATGAGTCCTGAATCCGCCGATACTCGAAGAGAGTCTGTTTTGCGTTACTTGAACCCTGCTGAGCCAGATTCCCCCGACCACAATCTTGACGACTCGGGGGCAAAAACTGGGAAGTGCTGGCCCTTCCATCCGTTGACGTTTTTCTAACGTGGTTAAGTGCATCAGCTTCAATTGCTTTCAAGTAACGAAAAGTCGTTTCTTCTTTTTCCCTTCTTCAGTGGACCCGCCTGACTTTCTAGATTACCCCGGCTGCGAATTCATCCTCATTTCGGCAACCGACGACGTCGAACACGAGCTCGGGATCGAGATACCAAAAGAGCACGAGGGCCTCGAAAGCAGTGACCTGGTGCGGACGCTAAAACTGGACGAGGAACTAGAGAAGGTGCGGAAGCCGCTGCTTGAGGGGGAATGGGCCTAGGCTTGCGACACGTGGCAGATCGAGAGAGCCGATCGAGGTGGAGTGGGCGCACGATTGGGCGTAAGTGGCATGGAAGGAGGTTGTTGATTGTTAAAGGTGGGGAGCTTGAAGCATCGAACGGTCGTCAGCGGACAGATGGTGAGTCCACACCAGGTCGATCAGTCGATGAGAAACAATTAGGTGGTCCAATGTTGAGGTCGTACTTAACACGCGGCCCGGCCGAGGTTGCCTGGGGCGAGCTTTCGAGGATCAAGGGTCGCAACTAAATGTACTGCGTGTTACTTGACTCACAGCAGGCATGCCAATGTATGAAAATCAGCCCCATTGTGATTCGCTTTGGGGGCCTGTAATCAACAAGCGGTGGATTTTGGGGTTTGGATCAGATGAGTCTCTCTTGACTTTGAGCGGCAAGGGTAAGAGCAGAGATCAACCTAGCAGCAGATCAAGGCACATAGACAATCCGCACTGTTCGGCTTTCGAATTGTTCGAGCAAGGAATTGCCGTCACTCGTTTTGGACAGAGCAGCAGACTGCGGATATCCTTGCACGTTTGAAATTCTTCTGGCGGTGCCAGTCTCATTTCACCTCCTCAGGCTTTCAATATGTGCCTAGTAATAAAGCATGCACGGCCGATCTCAAATCGGTGTTGAGTGCTTCGTGTAATTTCATGCACCTATTTGCGTGCCCATGTGGTCCTCAGTAGCTATACCACGTTCAATGACCGTCTGCGAACTACGCAGTACCGTAGTTCTGAGATCGAGTGAGTCCGAGTTGATCTGCCATTTGAGCGCAATGATCTGGGATATCATGATCATGTGCAAGACAACCGTCAAAGTAACGTTTGCATGATCGACGATCGTTTGCATGTGCAAACGATTCAGTTCAATTCGATATAATGTCTGCATGCTTGGTTCAGTGACCTGGCATCGTGAGATACCCTATGAGTTCCTAGCTATATGTACTAACGGCGCAACCGTGGCGGGTGGCATACTTGGAGCAAATTTTCTGCTGTTCTCAGTCTAGGTCAATTTGGCTAAGGCTAGTTGGGCATAACTGTGTATATTTCAAAAGTCAATCTGGTATGGAGCATTAGTGAATAGGGCCAGGCTGAGCTACCGGCGGCTGCAGATAGCACGACAAACTTGGACACAGCACTTCAGTGAACAGCGGCAGCCCGGCCCCTGCTCAAGCAACGTCTGGCGCTCAGAACCGTATGCATTCAGTCTACCATATGCTTCTTTCAGTGGCTCATACAATGCATATATTGATCGAACCGTCTTAGCTCGCAGACGGTCTGACAGTAATCATACCCGTCAGCAGGCACAATAAAAAAATGTCAACTTGAACAGGGGCATGCAACAGTGTATGCTAAGCCTGAGGGCTCGACTTATCAACGCGTGCAGAGTCTGAGGAGGCATCCCAAACAAAGGACCACAGATATCGAGCCTGGACACCTGTTGCTCTATGACACCTGGACAGGCCCTACGAGCATCTCGCTAGATGGTTGTGGGCAATGAATGCTGACCCAATAATGGACGAATACTTTGATTTTTATCGGGGCCCATCCGATTTGGGTTTCTTAAGTTCGTGTTCTACCTCTTTCCAGTAGTCCATCCCCCTGCAACGAAAACTCAGAAAGTCGTGACATCTATCTTCAAACAGTGAAAGCGGTGGACTTGACGTCAGACTCCGAACCACCTTTGGCACTCAGGGAACTTGCAAGAAACTACCCCCAAATCTCAGATAGTGCACCTGTTCTGAATCAAGAACACGTAGTGGTTGTTTGTTGCTTGACAAATCATCAATCTGAAAGAAACAACCTTGAATCCTTGTTCGAATCCCAAAACATAGAATTCCCTTGATTCAGATGGTGGTATGGCCTGCATGGCCCCATGAATGAAACATGCACAAAGCAAACAACTCATCAAGCAGACTCGACGAAAGGTGGGAGGAGTCACGGAAGGCCATTTCGGAATCTTTCGAAGCTGCCACGCTAGAAACATACACACTCATATCTTGATTGCAAAAACCTTCAACGAATCTGCTCAAATCTTTAGCAACATCGTTGAGTTCCTTTAACAAAAGTAATCACCTTTTCGAAATCTAACATTACATGAGAATTTTGCCAGGTTAAGATCCTCTTGACGCAACGTTGAGGGCAGCATAGGCAGAAGGGGATGGCGACTTACCTCTGAACAGTGGCTCCGATGTCTGGCAGCTCATACCTCTGCCCCAGGTAAACGCCAGTTACGGTCCCCGCCGCAAAGCACAACACAGTCGGGTTTTGAAAGATGAAACCTGCGGCGAGTGTTCCCAAGAAGGCCCTGATGAAACCGGCCATTCCCGCTCAGGTTTCAACTGCCCCAGAATGACTGTACTACAAACGCAACTAACGATGACAGCTTGTCAGGAATCAGACTCACATGGGAAAACCAGAGCGCCTGCAGCCCCTTTCCCAACTATTAGTTCGAAAGGTGTGACCAACAGTAGAAAAGAATAAACCCTTACTCATCAGTCTCTTGCTCTGCTGCCACCGGCGCAACTCTGAGACCAATCTGCTATTCGTTGCCGATGCTCAAAAGGCCATCGAGAGCTATGCCAACCTTCCTTGGTCCTAACACCGACAGAGGTCTAATTTGCCTCCTGATGTTGACTTTGTGCAGATGCAATGCTGGCAAACGACTAAATACTAGTGGTGAGAGTTTATTGTGGACAGGGCCGCGCCCAGGCTGCCGAGCGCAGCTTCAAAAAGGTGGTGTAAAGAGCCACTGATGAAGAGGCCGCCACAGGCTTCAAAAGTCAGCGGAGATCAGTGATCCCCCTTGGTCCAATCCGCCCATTTCTTGCTCCAGATTGTGACAGCAGCTGAGCACAGGCAAAGCCGTGCATACGCTCCTCTTTGTGGCCCCTGCCAAATGCACTCGTGATGGGGGCACGCGACCGACCAAAGCGAAAGCCGCTGTATAGAAATGTCCTACCGGGCACCTCATTATTGTGCGGTGCTGAGGCCCATGCTGCCATGCAGGTAAAGCTCGCGAGCCCTTGCCCTCCCTACCGGGTGCGTCTCTGGTGACTGGTCAGCAAGAAGCGGATTTGGACAACCAGAACCAGATTCTAGAAACCTGGAATGGTGCGCGACTGCTCAAAAACTCCATGATTGAGATTCAGAAGAAGGGAGGGCGCCGGCATTGGCATTAGCAATGAAACGCATGTTGGTCCTTTGAACTTTGAGGTGACCGTAAAGGCAGACGTGGGATGGGTTGTCCTGCTTGTGGAACAGGACCTCTGTAGGCCCTACTTTACCTGCTGGTGCGAGGCAGCAGGCCGCTTCTGAAGACTTGCGAACTTGGCGCATTGCTTGAGAGGTACTTTGAGCAGGTCGAGCTTCTTTGTGGAAGGTCTAATCGTCACGCTTTTTCAGCATCGCTTCTTTCGGAACCCTAGGTAACCTGTCGCTTACATTCTGGTACTTGAATGATTATGATGCCACACATGGCAGCACAGGTAAAGGAGGACCCGGAGGCTGGCCTTGTGGGAGCAGACGGCGATGGGGAATGGATGGAAGAGCTCCTGCAGTCACATGGTGCAGAAACTGCTCTAGAAGAGCTTCCCTGCAGCCTGGACTTCAATCTTTTCGCAGCGCCCTGGGCCACCCCTCTGTCCTCCTCTTTAGATGAAGCGGCTTTGGCAGACCCGTTCCCGAACCTGGATGATTCCTGGGGCTTGCGTTGTGAGGGGCCAGATCTGGATGGGATGCTGCAGGTGCTTGCCGCCAGTCCAAGGGCTGCCTTCGAGATGCATGATGCACGTGGAGACGAGACTGGCGCGTGCAGGATCGATGTGCAGGAGTCCCAAGAGAGTAACAAGGTCCAGGAGAGTGGAGAGAGCAGTCAGGCGAACTCCAGCAACTCAGAGGATAAGGGCAAAGCGGAGTCCTCTGGGGGGAGCCCTGCCTCCAGCTCTGGGGATGCGCCTTTAAGTAGCGCAGTCAAGCGGCCACTGGGGGTGAAGACAGAGAAAGAGAGTGACAGCGACAGTGATAACTGCGCAGGAAATCGGCCTGTCGTGGAGCAAGGGGATGTCGAAAAGCTACAGGAGAGGCTCATGCGGAACAGGGAGTCTGCGCAGCTGAGCCGGCAAAGAAAGAAGGTAGGCCGTTTGAGCTTTCTTCTTGCTTGCAGAGAGGGAGTGCTGGTTCTGGAGAAAGGGATTGCTGACTTGCGGTTCTGCTGCTGTTTGATTTCAAAGTAGTCAGATAGTTCCAGAGGCAGGTATCTTCAGTTCTGGGTAGTATCCAGCTTTTAGCAAGCTTTGGGACAGAGGTTGTGTGTGATTGAAGGCATCATTCACACCTTAGAACATGCATTATGCACCTCTGAAAATCGGCAGACAAGCAGTCAAGCGTTCTGGTGTAACACCCTGTCGCAGCTAGCACAGCTTCCCCAGGGCTTCTACTTAGGAGTCCAGGCATCATTCATGTAAAGAAAACATGTGGACATCAGCATTCGACAGGGATCAGAACAGTACAATGCTTACTGCTGCTCTTCGAGAGAGCGTGTGAACCTGCCTTTACTTTTGATTATTTCGCACCTGGTTTACCAAGAGCATGACCTGCTTTCTAGCTTTTGCACTGTTAGCAAACGAAAGTAAACTCGTCTGTGATTCTAGCGAGCCTTCCAGTGTGCCATTGCTCTTTCTGGTTGGTCAAGTAATGATTGAAGCATCTTGGAACTGCACCCTGATGTTTTCTTCTGACTGGCAAGCTCTTCAGGCAGCAATCGCCTGTTGTCTTTGTGCATCTGTACAAATCCATCTGTCCTTTCAAATCACACAAACCAAATCCTGAAGTGCGATCCCAGACTGTGATAATCAATCTCAACTGTTTCTGCAGGCATACATGGAAGAGATGGCCTCCCGTATCCGCTCCCTCTCCACCACAGTCTCCGAGCTCAACACCACAATTGCACACCTCAGCGCTGAGAACGCTAGTCTCCGTCACCAGCTAGCGTTCTACCTGCCCCCCGGAACTGCGCCCCCACTCCCCGCAGTCGGTCCCCCCTACATGGCTCAGACCGTGCCTGGAATGCGGCCCTTATATCCAGCGCCGGGGCCGATAGCTTATGGCGGCTACCCTGGGGTTATGAGGCCGGGGTATGCGCCGCCTGTGCCTATTCCGCGACTGTCTGTGCAGAGGTAAGAATGTTCCATTAAGTGACAGGCATTGAGACGGTCAAACAAGCCCGTTCTCATCAGGTAGGGCTTCATTGACTTGGTCTCACTGCTGCTACTGCCAGCTGCAAGCAGTACAATAGGATACCGTGTGGGGCATGTTACAAAGTAAGCGCACCTATGCAACTCATTAACTGTTACTTGCACCAATATGCGCAAGTGTGGTCTTCAGGCAATTGTCAAAGCACCAGATCAATGGCCCTGCCAGATACAGCGGCCACTATAGATTAAGAGTTAAGCATCTCATGCACTCGTTGCAAAAAGCGGCACAGCCATACAGATGGAAGGGCCAGAAAGAGTCTTGTATATCTCTATTCAGCAGTCTCAGAAGAGACACAAACGCCCACAAGTGTATCCTTGATTATGCTGTATCGTTTGAAGTCCGAGGACGAGTCTTTCAGAAGCCCAAGCGTAGTGATTGGGAGGGATGATACTCAAAAGTCCTCTCAAGCTGCTAGCTAGATTGCTTTGAGTTGCTGAACCCTTCTTTTTACCTTGCCTGCAGTGCCGCATCTGCCAAGAAGGCGACCACTAAGCGCGGCACGTCGGCCAAGAGCAAAGCCAAGGACGCCCCCGACGGTACCAAGCAGCCAGCTTCGAAGCGCATGAAGCTGCCCGGAAAGGCTGCCGCCGGTATAAGCGCGATGGCGCTCTTCTGTTTTGCCATGGTCATCGCCCCCGCCAGCTGGCACACCTCCGAGTTGACAACTGGCACGGCTGTGCAGCCCGCAGGGTTTGAGGGTTTTGGCGTGCCGGGATTGAAGGCTGGAGGACGGGTTTTGATGAGCCTGCCAGAGGGGAACGGAAGTGTTGGAGCGGGGGGGGCAGGTAAGGGCCATGGCAGGGGGGGTTCGGAGGTGGCGCACGGGATGGCAATGAACGGAACTACAGGGGAGGGAGTTGGAAGCACGCTCGTCAACTCGAGCCTGGTTTGGCAGCAGCTGGTGAACGCAAGCAGCCCGTTCTCTGTGCCGCCCCGGGGGAACGATGCGCCCGGTTCGCAGCCCTGGGTGCTTAGCAGAGACAGGTCGGGGAAAGTCGAGGGCGACCGTTCGCAAGTTTCGGGGGTAGTTTCGGGGATTGTGCCAGAACGTGGGGACTGGATCCGAAACGCAGTAGTCGTCGAGGCGCGGCGCGCGGCAGGGCGGATCGTGGCTGACGTGGCCCTCCGAAAGAGCGCCACGTCGCTGATGACGTCACAGGAGCACGAGCGGCTGAAGGGGATCGCGACGCTCGCGCTTGCGGGGCGTGCCGAAACGACCCGCCACGCGGCTCTGCCGGCCGCTGGGGCAGCTCTTGCAGACGAGGGTTCAGGCTTCGACCGGTATCCTGAGCGGCAGACGAGCAACATGTGGTCGTTCAGCGGGGCCCCGTTTCTTAGCTCGGCAATGTGTACGGAGCTGTTTCAGTTTGCGGACCCGGCCGTCGTAAACGGGGGCTCGGGTCGGGAAGCACGCGCAGCTGCGGAGGAGGCCGCGCTAGCGGTCGCTCGGGAGCAGTCGTTGGAAGGAGCGGAGGCGAAAGAGGGGGTGCAGAAACAGAATCAGACGGCGAGTCTACGGGGAATGGGTCGGAAGTGGAAGCCCAAGAACCCGGATGCGGTCCCCATGCCGCCGGTCAACGGCACCCGCAGCCAGTTTGATGCGAAGGCCGAGTTCGAGGACGAGAAGCAGCCGGAGCGTTGCGAGGAAGGTGCCTTTGGCTGCAAGAACGCGTCGAGCAGCGTAGTCGTGTCTGTGATGGTTCCTCAGGTAGGGTGGGAGAGGTCGACGTTTGAGCCCAAGAAGGGCGCGTCCACGAGCAAGGGCCTAGGACAGATCTTTGTTGTTGTGCTGATTAACAGTGCGAAATACGTGACCTACTCGTGTTCGGTTCCCTCTGTAGCATAGAGAGTGTTAAACTACATCAGTTGATGTTTGTTCGTAGGACAACAAGAAATTTGAGATGAACTTATGTACTTTATGAGAGGACTACGGTTGGTTTGTTTCTGGACTGTCGGAGAGGTTAATTGCGGGCGTGATAACACATCTCAAACGGATGAGTTTAGTTTCTAGTCCAATTATATAGGATCGACAACGCATTGACATGCATGAGCGGCTCAGGGCTTGAGGATATTGAAACTCACCGAGTCCAATACTGCTATGATCGCACAATTACACCATGCTAGTTCATCAGTGTCAGCAGCCTGCTGCAAGCCTGGCCCGGCCGCGGGCTTCATTATGGTACTAACATATTATAAGCCGCGGGGCCTGCATGCAGCCATGGATGTTTGATAGCTAGCGAGCTATATGTGCCGTCAGCAATTGAATAGTACGGTATGTAAGAATATTGATCACCGCGTACGTTCCGTGGCGGCCCTCTACATATATATGTACGATGCTTATGAACGTCGAGGCGTTTCAGCTTGTCGCATGCATGTACCAGTATAAATGCTCTCCATGATGCACTCTGCATGGAACCAACGGCAAATAATCGTCACGCAAAGTGATTATGTACGTAACGTTTTTGGCAGTGGCGCGGACTCATGCGGTACGACTGCGGCAGCCCAGCTGGCGCTGCGGTAATCGGCGGGAGCGGGCGGGCGGCCGTCATGCGGCTTTGGACACAACCGGACACAAGTTAAGTTGTGCTACCAAATACACCTCTGTATATAGTACATGTTCAGCAATAATGCGGACAGCCCGTCATGATGTCACGGGCCGCGTCACTTGGGGCCAATCGTGTGTAGATGGCAGCTAGTATCATGCAGATACGGAAGCACACCGAGCTTGATGAGAACATTTAGGACCATCACATGAATGCACTCGTGTTAGTATGATTGGATTAGACTGCCATCCCTTAAATCCAGTACCTAGTTTAGTACGCACTGAGGGCTAGATTTGAGGTAGCCAGTCCAATTCGAGGTGAAAATTGTCATGGGTCCTAGGAGAAAAGTCTTGGTTGCCTATGCTTCTCCTTCTGTACCACTGACTATTGCTTCGATCAGCTTGGCTGCTAATCCGCCAACGAGATCGTTGCATGCTCGTTTACTGATCTGTGTTTGATTGGACTTGCGTCCTGATTCCCATGGATCGTTTTTCGAAGGACCTGCAAACAGGAACTCGTCTTTCAGTACTCTCATGTCCATCACATGTGTCATCTGCGGACCGTGTCGATCTCAACTTCTCTCCTACGGGCACGACAAGGTCGTCCGGCTTCCGGTCAAGCTAAATCTCGTGCAAGCCGCACACCACATGTTGAAGCTAATCATCACGATGACATTTCAAACGGTCCACAGCAAATCTGCAAGCTTTGTCTTTGAAAAAATACCAACGCTTTAGGCTCGCCCCTTGGCTGCAAGCTTGCCTGCATTCTTTTAAAACTGCCTTTACTCTAGCAGGTACCCACAGGTGACTACTCGCCTTTCAATCTGCGCGCACAGTAATTTTCAGTTCCTAGATTTCATCCTCGAAACCCACGTTCTCACACCAGCTTTCTACTAACTGTCCAGCCGACCGCTGCGATTCAGACCTTTGCCGCGTCACGGGTCTTGAATCTTTCATTCTGCGAATCTGATGCAAGCCTGATGCAAGAGAACCAATACTATGACATGCACATTCTGGGAGGACGATTTGCCTCACAACGTTGCAGTCTGACCCACCTGAAAGAGAAGCAGGTTCGGACGCCGGCACTGATCGGTATGCGCCAACCTTGTTCACTCCGATGACGATTGTACGACGGTAATGCACATATGCCACACTGACTCGCAGCCTTAATGGCGAGTGAAACGGGGCTACGTCATGCTTAAACTCTGCAATAAGGCCCTTTCGCAAAGAACAACAATGGCATCAAGGTACTCCCTTGCACGATCTGCGGAGGGAATCCGCATGCAAGCGGTTTCTTTGATCATTGCCACGTCTACCACTCCTCGTCAGAACTGCTCCGCTGGGTCCTTAAAGTTCGGGTTTTTCGTCTGACCCGGGGCGAAATAATTTCTGGAGGATCAGCGTGGTTGGAACAACCGCTAAGTTAGCAGAGAGAATGGCCGGCCCAGGGTAACAAAAGCGTCAGTTTTGAGTAGTAAGCGACAGTCTCCATTGTCAGGGAAGCCACGGTGTGAGAAACGCTCTCAAATCATACCTACGCGGTAAGGATCATCGTCGCTTTGAGAAGCTCTCGGCGTGCAAAAGCATCGATGAAAAGACACAAGTGTGAATCTCTTCCGTGCAGAAGAAAGAGGGGGCAGGGCAAGAAACCGCTATAAAAAAAATCAGCACCTGATCTGCGTTCTGATACCGAAGCTGGATAGAAGGAGGGTACCTGAAAGTTAACCAGTAGGCGATTGGGCTCCACAAGCATGACCAAGACCCACCAGACGCTAGCTACGACTTCAAATGCTGATAGCAACAGGATCACGCGGGCGTTTTTTGGAAAAGTAGCAAAAGTTGACATGCTTTGAGCACGCCAGTACTACGTGACTTTGTCATCATTGCCACTTTCAAACTTCGCCTTTTTCATCTCAGCACGGACTGAACTTTTCATCTTCTAGCATGCGAAGTGCAGCAATTCTTTGGAACGAGCCTCGTGGACTTTTGCACGGAGGTTACAATGCTCTGCTTCAAAACTTTGCTTGTACCAAACGAAGGCTTTCAGTTGGAGGCAAGCCGAGAGTAGGTAAGATCAGCACTGAAGCCATCAAGATCTGGAAGACACAACCGTATCACTCTAAAAACGCGTCTAGTAAAGGTTCCTGAAATGTAGAGCCCATGCGAAGCTTGTCCAGAAAAGTCGAAGAAGACTCTAAGCATCAAACTATACTGTACTACCTGCTTCGGTTCAGTCGAAACTACTTTCTGTCAGCGTCTCATTATCAACAGCATCGATGTGAATATGAACTCTGACCGAGTATGTTCACAGTTGCGGTACCAGCTCAGAATAGATTGCTGTTGGGGGTGCTTGCCGTGAAAGCGCGACATGAGCCCTACTAATCATCGCCGGCCCGCCGAAGGCCCTAAATCAATATCCTTTTCATGAGTAGCGCAAAATTCACTTTTCCCGTCAGCTTTTTGACGTTCGGCGTTTCGAGAGGTGGACAATGCCTATGAGCACGTGGTTGGGATTTAGTATTTCTGGCACGATATCAATATAATCCTGGCCTTGACAGTCCAGGAAAACGGTTCTCGCAAGCGCCCATTTTAAGACATGATCCGACAGTCGTAAACCATCTTGAAAGCGGCGCCGGGGGCGTTGCCTGTGCCCGCTAGGGGGCTTCACCAAACTGGAAATGTTGACGGTTGATGTGCTCAAAGAAGTGCCGATCGAATCAGTCCCCGCCCTGAATACAGAGTTGAAGTACGTTATGGAATGCTACAGTGAAGGCAAGAGTGGAGGGGCGGGTTAATTGGAGCGGCGCACGTAGACTTTCTTGAATGCTTTGAAGGCGGCTCCAGAGGTAAAGCGACCATCGAGTGTCTTTGTGATGCTGGACAGCATCAGGGGGTACCCACTTATCCTCGCCATCAACCCAACGCTAACATGATTCAGAAACAGAACGAGTGGAAGTCCTTGAATTCCGAGGAGCTTCGAGAAAAGGACAAAGTAGAACTGAGAATGTGGAAATTCCATTAAAACAGAGGCGAAAGCGGGGTCAAGAGCTGAGAATCGAGGTGCCGCCGACTTTCAAAACCTGGTCAGGCAAGCGGAGCTGCTCGCTGCAGAATTGAGAGCCCCGACGACCGCAAAAGCGCCGTCCCAAGGACTGCTGCAGCGCTTCCGGCCGGTAAGGATGCAGCCCACTTGAATGTTTGGCGTGTGTTGGCCCGGAACGTGCAGAATCTGTGAATGCATTACTGGTTGGATGTAAGTGTCTTGGAAGAGGATTTTCGAACGGCTTATGTGGGGCATCTTAAAAGAGCGCCATGTTAAGAAGAACTCGAAGCGCCGGATGGATTCATAAGGCTTCATGAAGTTTCAGGCGACGCAGCTTTTGCTCTGCACCTCTCTCCTTGAAACCAGATTGTACAGGCAAAGTAATCCGGGTGCAAATTTTGGGCCGCGCATCCTTATGTGTGGACTCTAGGGCAACTATCAAACCTGCAGATGGACTGCAACAAGTGTTTGCGAAAAGCATGACGCATTGCTTGATCCTCACGGGAGTTCTCTTTCTGGGTTCGGAGGGATCCGCCCGTGAATGGAATAAATGAGTGTGGCAGAGACTGCCAAACCAAACGCGTCATGACAGTCGAAGACGAATTCTCTAACACATGAGTAAGTTATCGTAAAATCTTAAGGGTGAAAATATAGCAAACGAGGAAAGGAAATAAAGCATCAACTACGGAAGTGTGGAACAATGTCAGCTTGTTGGCATCAGAACCCGCTTGATATGCCTCCTGGGCCCGGATTCGAGTCAGCACCCACGTCGCTCAGTTCGCGTTCTATCATAGCCACAGAAATACTAATCCCCTTTCGCAGCGGGAAATCAAACGGATTGAGCGTTCCGCCGGATACGCGGGCCCCTTGGACAAAGTGGAGGCGACTCCAGTCAAAGTCCCGTTGCGAATTTGAACAAGCTTCATTGACTGTCCAAAAAGTGTCCGGTTCAATGAACGGAAGTATGCAAAGCGGGGAGATCCAGTACCTGCCGTGACCCTGCCAGGTTCTTCGGACTCGACACTGGATAGAGCCACATTGAATTCCCACTGGGATAACAAAGAGACAGGCTATGATCAAGTGAAAGCGGCATGCTCTGAAGGTCCTGACACTGTCACAAGTCATGACCAACGGCTGCTTCACATCTGATGAGCGAAGGGAAAACCTTCTCTCCGCGGAAAAGAAATCGGTGGGTGCCGTCAATTCAGGGTAGTATGTCTGCACAAATGGCTTTGACACTGTTGGAACACGGCCTGACAATTTCTGGTATTTCGAAAATCAAATATTCATCTCCGCCAGCTTCATCGGGACCAATTCAGGTCACGTTCGAAAAAATCTATATTTATACTATTGAGAAACGAACATCCAGAAGGTTCATCAAGCAGACTTCGCGTGTATTAATGGAGTCCACGCACATCGAAACAGAGTGATGCGTCTATTCTGCCTCGAGATCTGCCGAGATAAGACCGCAGAAATCCCTCCCACTCACTCTGACCAGAAAATCCGCGGGTGCCAAGATAACAATCAAGCATCACGACCTTACAAATCTCAGTCGTGTACGAGAAAGATGCGGATTGTATGGCAAGCAATCAGAAACGGGTTGGATTGCAGGCTATGAATCCACCTGAAAGCGCCCAGCGAATAGTGAGGTTTATCCGGAGAGCCAAAAGGTGGATTCGTGTAGCGATCAAGGATATCCTCATGATCAGGCAGCTTTTGTGCGTGCTGACTAATTTGTCAACCCAAAAACGCGAAGCCAGTACTTTAAAGCGGCAGAATAACTTCATTGCTCAAAGCATAATCGAGCAGCCTTTGCAGCTTCTTCCGAGCAAGCTGCCAGTTTTAGTGAAAATTTTAGGACTAACTTAGTGGGTCTGTTGTTGAGTGAAGTTAGTCAAGATCAGATGACACTAAGACTGGCAGGTTGCTCGGGAGAAGCTTGGCTCCGGGGGGTCTTCTGAGTGGGGCAAATGCAGGTTCTTATGAACATCCATGGTCTTTAGGAGCAGGATCGAAGCTCTATGCCAGATGCTGTGCGCAAACTAGATGGTCGAGAAGTTTGAGCGTGAAGCTTTGGTCGTTCGATGATGCTTGCGTTAACTGCTTCGAAACAAAATGTCAGCAAGCGCAGAAAAGGAGGGCTGCAGAAATTAAGCCTACTAAGTTTTTTGAACGTATATACTGAAGCCGTTGCTTGGCACCAGAAAGGTTTCGTGCAAGAGCTCGGTTTCCGGAAAGCTGATGAGTGTGCGGGGAGTTCCGGAAGTGCTTGCGGGATCGTCTTACTCATCGGCAGCTGGCCAGCATCAATCGAAGAACAGCATCTGAAGTTTGATTTGGTTGCAACTTCAAAGTGCTCCTCCTTCCTTGCCAGCGCTGCTTTACATGTTTGGTGCCTGATTGCAGTGCTGCACGTTCGAAGCTTCTTAGCCCGGCGATAATCTGAGTTCGAGCGCAGAAGCACTGTCAGGCCACAAATTTGATTTCAAGGCAGAGCTGGGCTCTTACACGCAATTCTGAAAGACACTCTGGAAGGCGAGACGAGTGAGGGAAAACCGAAGTAATGTCATACGGAGTACTAAGAGCTGAATACAACGCCTATAAAGAGAACCCTGCAAGCGCCTCGCAGGCGCCCACTGAAGGCCTGGTTCAACTCGTCGTATCCATCCACATCTTCGATCCCAGGGGAAAAGCTTGTTTCCTTATTCCAAGGAGACGGCAGTTCAAGCAGCCCAACCTTAATTTTTGAAACTAGTCGAGTCTAGCAAAAACGAGTGTTGATAGGAGTGCTGATCAGTGAAGGGGCGCAAGTGAGCTTTTTGATGCTTCACTTTCGGCTTCAACTTTTGAAAGGTCCCACCACTCCATGATGCTGGGCGGCATCAGGGTTGCTAGTCTATCCTCGCCAGCAAGAATACATCACATCTGTCTGGAACGTCTCCTTCTGAATCGATCCCGAAAATGTGAACAGCATGGGAAAACACCGTGGTGTTTCGTAGCAAGAGGCTGCGCGGCACGTTCGCTGTCTCGATCATGTGCCGCCAGGCGAAGAGGGACCGGTCGCGGCGCGGCCGCGAGCCCCCATTACCGCAAAAGCTCATGATTGCTTTCAAGGACCTCGACAGCGACGTTCAGAGCCAGAACAAGCAGCCCACGTTGATTGTAAGGGCAAGTCTTTCTGGTGGGCAAAGATGACAACAGCATCAAGGACGGCACAACAAAAACTCCGTGGAAGGCAAAACCTCCGAAGACTCAGGGGCAATATTACTTAGATCAGCAACGCTGAACTTGCGCGAAGGTTGGAAAAAGTCACGAAACTTGATTGCGGTATCCACAAGCTAGGGTCGCCCGCATGGACGGCTGGATTAAAAAAGTGTACGTACGACCAACGAGTAGCATCAGAGTGGGGGACACAAGCTAAGTGGGGGCTTTCGAGCCAACGCAGACCCCACGTCGTCCAGTCCTTAAGAGCCGTGACATTTACTTCGTCAATGAGCCTTTTCCGTCTCATTTGCATCCGGAATTGCTCTAAGTATCGATCTTCCTGCCAGATTACGGGGAATCCTTGGCAAAATAACGGCGAGCTATCAGTCGAAGTTCTTTATGTTAACAAGCCCCGTTGAATTCCCGAAGAGCCGCCAGATGAGGCACGGGCGAGGAGATTGGCTGGGGCGCGGCCGCGGATCGCCACAACCGCAACGGCTTCAATCTCAAGACCGCTAACAGGCTTTTCGGAGAAGAAGCAGCCCACTTCGAGAACTAGGGCGGACCTAAGGCGAAACGAATCTTCGGAGGCAATTGGGCAAGTATGCTTCAAGCGCTTGCGGGGCAAGCATGAGGAAGTCAAAACATTCGACGGCTGGGGTACACCTGAGAGCGGGGCCAAGCGCTAAAGACAAGAAAAGAATTCTTTTATGGAGCCAGAGTATCTATGATTGCCTTGTAAATATAATCCTGAGCTTTTCGAATTATGTGGATGTACGTGGATCGAGTGCCGGGCATCAGAACATTTGACGGTAGCGTGTCAGCGTGTTTGGGGCTAGCTCCTCAAGCCAAGCCCCAACCCGTTCCGGTCAGTATCATAGCCCTTACGTTGCTTTCATTATCGAGTCTGCACCAGCGCCGCGCGACGTCAGTGCACGCAAGGCGGCATTGGTCCGTGTTCGACCAATTGGGACGTCACCTCAACGGAGGCCCCAACTTGGCACAAGCTTCGTTGTCCGTCATCTCTGCCGTCACGTCAAGTCCATTTGTCGCATCATGCTGGTATTGCTGCGCGTATTGTCCGGAGCGAATGAGGGGAAAACGGATACGCGACCGCACTGGCTCTTTCATTACTAGACAAGACCACTCTGGGTTTGTTGCGGGCATTTCTTGTCCGACGTTTGGAGGACACATATCGTGGCCGAGAGCAGCTACAAGGATGGCGTCAAGCATAACAGCAACGCCACTAGTGTTTGGACGCGGGACAGCGGCAGTGCGCGGCATCTTGACTCCTGAACGTTGCGCTCCTGTGACTATGCCCTTTGCATTCTTCCAGAAAAGAAGTGGCAAGATGCTGACGGCACCTTCTTATTATCAGAGGTTGGGGACAAGGCTTCAGCATCTTGCAGCGCCCAGAAAGCGGATGACTGACTTGAACAGCGTTGAGAGGGCCTGTATTCGGCCGTCTCCAACTTTTCCTTCAGGCAGAATGCCGTACGTGGGCGATATTGCTTCTTTCCAAAAGCAGCCGTCACGTCTATTAAGCTGCTCAGCAGCTAGCCCGTTCCACAGATTACAGTCGGCTTTGGGTGTAGTCGCGGAGGCTCTGCCGTTGATGGGCTGGGGAAATGATGCACGAAGGTCATTTTCTGTCGCCAGAACGAGCAACTGTTATCGGGGAAAGGCATTGAAAACAAGCTGCGCCAAAGAAGCTGGTGCAGGGAACTCCAAACAGCTGAATTCCAACTTCAAGGCTGGAAAGAGGAAATTCAGAGATGGGGAGACGGGCCTCGGGGAAACTAGCTCAGAAGAGCCGCCCACGAATTTTTCCAGTTTCTCCCCTAGGCAACAGCCCCTTCCCGAAGTCCAGCGTCCTGAGGGGACCGTGACGGCAGCTCTTTCTGCTGTCGGGTTTCTGGCCCTTTCGTGCAAATTTCTCCCGCCTCTAAAGCCCGCGTTCTTGACCCTTTCTCAGGCCAGCGTTCTACACGTCCTACTGAATTTGTGCGCCGTTTACTTTGGAACCAAGGCGCTGCGACTGGTAGCATTCGAACCAGGCACGACAGAGGGTGTCACACTCCTGGTTCGGAGCCCGGGGCTTCCCCCCGACTGGCACGCGCTCTTCGCCCCCACAGCAAACCGGCCCTGCTACTACAACTCGGTCACCCATAGCTTCCAGTGGGATCCCCCGGCTTCGCCCCCCCACTCCCGTGTCCCACCGGGCACTTCAACCGGTCTCTTCGGAACGCTGGCCCTGCTCTTTAACTGCATTATTCAGCAGCTCGTGGGACTCGTGCAGCCGGTCGTGACACTCGGGCTGTACTGGAGCAGAGTCGTAACGTTCCGGTGGTGCGTGTGCGCTGTTTTCGGCGCGAACCCGCAACTACATGCGGGAGCGATTCTCTTCCTCTCCGCAGCCTTCCTTTCCCTCCCCCAACCGCTGCCGTTGTGCGTCCTACTCCTCGGTCGCTCCGGCGACTCGACGTTCCTCGGCGGCCCTTTGGCAGCCCGGTTGGAGTCATTCCTGTGCGTCGCCATCCTTGTAAGCGCTCTCCCCGGGCTGTGCGTCACTCTGATGACATTTCACCGGGCGGCCGAAGAGCGCCTGCCCAAGTGCCGCCTCCCCTGGGACTTCAAAGGCTTCCTCTACCTCCTGTTGGCCATCTGTCCTGCTCTCACTTGGTGGCTCTATCCATATGCCGTGGATGGGCCTCCTAGCCGGGTGGCGCTTCTCCCGCTTCCCTCGGGGGATCCCTTTCGAGTGCCCGTCCCCCGGTGGGAAGTCCTGAAGTTCTCCTGGAGAGCGCTTCTGTCCGCGGCGCCGATGATTCTTCCCTTGGCGCGGCTGCTCGTGGCCGCGGCCAAAGCCCAGGGGTTATCACCGGGCGCAATCTACACCCTGGTGCTCTGCTCCCGGACGGTGCAACTAAGTGCGTGCGTCTCGGGTCTCGAGTTTCTGCTCGCGAGACATACGGCGACGTACAAAGCTGCCTTGAAGCAGAAGATGAAGGACGAAGATTCCACAGTTTCAGGGGTTGAACACGAAGCTACTCGCGGGATTCGTGGACAAGGTAGTTCGGGGGCTAGCTCTTTGCAGGACGCTTGGCACTTCATATAATAATACTCGGACATGTTTCCAGTGCGTTCTATAAGATCGATTCAAACAGTAAATACAAGTCCGTACCTACTATATTATTTAATGGAACAGTTTGTTTCCTGTCGAAGGCGACTGTGTCGGTCACCGTTAGTATGACTCCACTTCGTAAGTCATCTCTATTCCTGAAGATGGCTGAATCGTACATTGTCTTCCAAGCGGCTTCAGATGTGATCTCACGGGGCCAGTAAATGGCTATTTGCTCTATGCGCGGGGCCAGAATGGACGCCTTGAGTAAGCTTACTTCGAACGTTATGGCGGCAAAATGGTATACTATATATCCGAATCGATTGGGCTTGCGACCAGTGCCAATATACCTCTGTGATGATTGGAAGGTTGCCTTTCGATCGCACTGATCATGAATGCCGAATGAATCAAAGTTGGACTATAGGAACTCACAAACCAGTCCAATACAAGTTGCCTGCATGAGCGGCCATGCCGTAGAATAAGTATGGATGCAAAAGTTGAATCAGGACAAACGAATCTGGTCTACGCCTCAAATGCGGGTTATGAGCTTGCTGTAAAGGGGCAAAATGTGCCCATGTTTATCACCGCCGCCCGCCGATCGAATGGGGTGTCGAGACGCGGTTATTGGAAAACACCCCAAAGCTTCAAGACGTGCGGCTCTGCATCTGGTCGATCTCGACAAATTTAAGAAGCACGTGTCTACAATTTGTATTCATGATGGCCCCGGAGCATCGAAGTGATTTTTGGGCCTCGAATGACCTTCGGAAAGAATCATGCAGAATCATGCAAGCGCTTCACGAGCGCACACTGAAGGCTTTTCCCCAGGATCAGTCACCGTTTCGCATTTCGGATGCAGGATACAGATTGAGCAGCCACGGGGCAGTTGTAGACAATTCATCCGAGTACGGTGGCAGATAGATAAATGAAGAGATACAAGGAAGCTGAATGTCGCGTAATCGGCGTAAGTAGCTTTCAGATTATATCAATGGCGGCTTCAGAGTTGCATGTTATGTTCTGCTTTGATGCTGGGCCGCATCAGGGGGTGCCGATCATTTCTCGCCAGCACTCAGGCTTTCAGGCAGAGACTCTTTGAAAGATTTCCTTTCTTCACAAATCTGGGAAAGCGGACAATCGGGCAGACTCGGGACGTTGCGTTTCCGGATTGGCGCCAAGAAGCTCGCGCCGCCAAATTAAAACTTACAAGGGGAGTGTCGCCAGCTGAACTCCGAAACTTCGGCGCGGGGCTGGTAGCAACCGGTCAAGCACCCCCACGGTCGGTAGAAACGTCACGGCGCTTTCACCACAGAATTTAAAGCAGCCCACGTTAGGTGTCACAGTGAGCGGTCCTGAGAAACCTTCTAATGATCAGCGACCACGAAAATATAGTGGAAGAGGCATGTAAGAACATTCATTGAATGCAAACACCTTCGCGATCGATGGCTGTGAGCAAACTTAAGGAAGGCTGAAGGACGAGGGTAAAAGAGCCAGTTTGAGGAGCTTGCGCATCCAATACTGGTCCACCGTTCATCCAGAACGAATCCGTTTGTATGGATTGCGAGTTGCCTTAGATCTTGAGCAAACAGCGTGGGGTTCATCGAATGAAGCCCTTCGTCGTCCAACTTATCAGAGCCGTGAAGTTGCCTTGATGAACGACGCCCTCAGTTTACTCTGCATCGGGCAACGCTTTCATAATGAACTTGCAGCTACTAGATTAAGCGAGTTCAATCATGCGCAAGGAAACGGTACTCAGTCAGAGTTATGCTTTAAGATAACAAGCCCCGTTGCCTTGCACAAATTGGACCCGTTTGGACCGAAAAGCAGACACGGCAGGACCTTTTGACGCATGAAATATTTGCAAACTCTGTCGGGCTTAGATTTCTTAAGGCTGATTTTCGACGGAGCTAAAGTTTCTTCCCGTGGAGAAACGGTGTGATGGAGACAGGCGTCACCATAAATTTTGAACGGGTGCCCGACTGGCTTTCAGGCTGAGGTCTACCTGAGATGTTGGAGAATATCAGACCACGACTCAATCTTCACTGCCAGCTTGAAACTGCAGGACCACGATCTTGTTCAAATCGAGTTATATCTATATCCTCAAAAGAAGCTCATGAGCATCGAATTCGACAAGCAGGCTTCGTCAGAAACAGACGTTGATTGGAGTCATCAAGCAGATTTCGGGTCACCCCACGGTAGCCGCCGCAAAAAATCTGAAAGAAAGCGCCCGGAGCGACATTTACAGGCCGTACATCTTGGACAATATAATTCTTCCCAAAACGCTTACAAGAGACTCCGCGAGCGAGGCAGAGTCCAAGCGAAGACGAGTGCCGAGTCAAGGGCTGACTGAGGCGGCGCAGGTAAGCGTTTTGAATGTATGACTGGTGGCCTCAGAATATCCGAAGTTAGTCGTGTTGCTGCTTGATGCTAGGCCGCATCAAAAGTTGCCCATGTATCCTTGCCAGCAGCCGGACGCAGATAAGAACATGAGAACATGAGAACCGTTGAGGTTCTCCTAAAATATGGACTCAAAAAGGAAAAATAAACAGGCAGATTTCGTGGCGGTTCCTAAGAGGGCACGCGTCGCCCTCGCGATTGGGTGACTCCGAGGACTGATTGCGGCGCGGCTTCAATCCAGCCCCACGGCTGCGCCGTCAGACATATTGGCAATGAAGAGCAGCCCAGATCAGGAATCCGGACGCGCAAATCTCCCTATTGGGCGACTAGTGCGAAAGTATGTACCATGTGCAAATTATGTACAAGGCAGAAACTTCGAAGTTTGTGGGCTTCTCAGAACCACGTCTTGCACGAGATCGAAGATCAGAAAAGCGAGAAAGATGAGAAACGTGTCTCTTCGTAAGATTGGATTTTCAGAAGTCCTCACGATTGCAAAAAGAATATTTAACCAGATATTAGCCAGGATGTATCGAAACGGCATCAGATCATGAGCGAGCGGTCGTCGAGATTGTCAGAACCATTCTACGTTGCTTCTAAAAGCGACCCCCTAAATCTAGTCTGCATCAAGAAACACCATTGGGCGCTTTAAGTTGCTGGCAGAGTACGCGGGGCTCTCAGCCAGAAAGGTAACGGTGGACCTATGAGTCAAAGCGCAGGTTTCTGTCTACGACGAAAAAGCTTTTGACTTACAAAATCCTGTCCCAGACAATGGAGTCGGTACTAAGACCAGTGGGAGATCTCGGACACGCTGACTCTGCCAAGGCTCCACCGACCTAGATCTCACCAGAATTAGGTGTGGTTCGCGGCAATTGCCGAGCAAAGGAGTAGGCTGTGAGTAAAGACGGCATGCTGCTATGATCTCTGAGGCTATAGGCTAACAAGACCAATCGACTAATCCTATTGATTGCAGTGAATTATGGGTTTCCTATTTGGGAAGAAAAGGTGTGAAAGAAGAGGCTTCAGCGGGTCCCAAAGCTGACTGACTGGCTTCAGATCAGATGCTGAGCAGGAAGTTTGACGGCTACCACAAGACATTACGTCGTGAATAGTTCGTCAATGGCAGATCGGTTTTGCATCTGAAAGGTTCAGGGTTAGCTAACCGCCTGTGACCGCGGTGGACGTTGTTTAGGAAACTTTCGCGGGTCCTATAGAGAGTCTCCCGCAAGACAAGCGATGAGAGTGAATTGTCGGCTGCACGTCTTTCGTGCCTTATCAACGAACGCCTCGGAAGTCCCCTTCTTGCAGTAAGTTAGAATTTCGTGATTTGCATAATGGTCAAGATCGAGTCCCCATCTTCCAACCTTCGATCCGAGGCGGCGTATCCAACAAGCGCTGAACGTCAACGAAATTTAAATTCCGGTAGTGAGCGCAAATTTAGAAAAAAATGCAGAACAACTTGTACTTTTGCAAGCACATCTGTAGAAATATCCTCACAGTCCACAAATTCTGGCAACGGATCAAATGTTCTCACAAAGGTCTCCGGTGAAAGGTGAAACAATTATTCCGAGTGGCAGAAGGTGGCTCGTAGCGAGATGATTCAGCAACCGGATGAGTGCCCTGATTGTGGTTTTGAATTGCAACGGATCGTCAAGCGCGGCTGCGTTCATCGCTTTAGCGGAGACGGTCACCCACCGCCATCTGAGAAGCCTTCGATCTGCGGAGAAACAAACCTTCAAATTCTTTCAAACTGGTAGGACCGTGATTGGTAGGCATCAGGAAATCTCAAATCGCTTGCAAAAGCCTCTGCATAGGTTAAGCTAGCTAAATATTGTGCGGGACGTTCTTTGGCGCCTGCGGACACGTCTGGCCGGCATCCGACAGACTACCTCGCACAGTTCAAGCTTTGAAGTTGGATTTGGTTGCAACCTCAAAGGATGCCTCATTCCTCACCAGCCTCGGTCTGCGATATGCTTAATGTTTGGAGCTCTGCGCGATGTCCCCGCCTCTCAGCAGAGCGACTTAGTTCAGGTTGGGCCGCGTAAGCACCATTCTCGTCGACAAGCAGGTTCTACGCTAGAACCGGGAACTTACAAAGTTGCCCCGAAAGGATGTAGATCGGAGTAACTATACGGAATATCAAGCGCCGGCACGAAGTCGTAATGGAGTTGTAAGGTTTACAACATTAGCCCTCATCCTTGTCTTGGCTGAATTCACTATACATCTGGATGAAAAGCCTCATTTTCATCATGATATTCATCATTCTGTTCGTTGTTCTCAGCGGAAGTATAAAAATATGTGAAGTTTTATCTTCTTTCGCATCCTCCTCCTCCTCCG